TCTTGAACTCTCTTTGGGCCTTGTGGGTTTGTGGTTTTGAAAAAGCAAAAACGGACCAAACAACACAAAGAAGTGGCAATGCTTGCGTGTGTCTCTTGCTTGCCGTGATCTTTCAATAGCAGCTTGAGGTCATACGAGGTAGGAACATGCAAAATATCATCATTCTTGCCTTCCTCTGCAATCCCTGCCTTGCTGTCCGCAGCCGGTGTTGAGACATCAAGCAAGGCATATCTCACAGCTGAAAAGGATTCTCCCCACCTTTTCTTCTCCAAGTCCGACTGCTCCAGCCAATGAGATAGAGCATCTGCTTTTGGCGCCCCACACAAGATTCTTGCAGCTTTCTGAAAAACAGTGCACCAGCTCACTGCTTTTGACTTCTCAGTCAAGGCTTCCAAAAAATCTGCATGCGGAACTGCTGCTCTCGGTTGCCATTGTGGGAATAACTTGGCGGCTGCTTCCTCAAGCTTTGTTTTTTTTGGGGGGGTCTGAAGCTCTGTCCTCTCACTTTTCTCATCGACGCCAGGCTTGGCGTCAAGAATCTCCTCCTCCAATTTCTCTTGCTTTTGCCAACATTCAAAGCAGCATTCAGGAACTGGAGATTTGTTCTCTGACGTCACTGGGCGCGAGCACTGCACACACACAACATTCCGTGCGTCTACAGAAAAGTCCTCGGCCACAGCGGCCAGAGATTGTAAAATTGCCCCACTTCCAGACCCAGAGTTTGCGTTCCCATCTGCTACACCCTCTGCATTGGAGCTCGACTGGGGCTTCAACAGCTCAGCAAGCTCGTGTTCAAAGCATTGCTTGCAGTATTTAGGTAAGCAACTGCGGTCACTGTTGGGGATATCCAAGTTGCACCCGCTACAGAGAAACGAGTCTGGTGGAGGAGTGGAAGGCGGTGGCAAAGGTGCAGAAGCATCAGCCTCGCTGGCTGCGCATGCTCCTCAAGCAACCCACAAAACAGTAAACTTTGAGAGAAGTCACTGGGTTTTCGGACGATGTAGCGGACGAGGTAGCGGACGAGGTAGGAACCCTACACCTAAACATGCCATGCAGACATCTCCCCACATGTGCTAACCAAAAGCCTCGGTCAACCCTGAACGTCCTGAAACTTCTGAGAGATCCTGCTTCTTACAAACGACGTCACCGTCTACAATTCGACGTGCCAGGCGAGCGCGGTTCTCTGAAACCAGCAGGCTGGTATCATAGGAAAGACCCCATTCCTCGCACGCCTCCAGCAACCGGGAGTGAGAAAAACGGGCGATTACAGCTTCACTGTACTTTTGGGGAGCCATCAGGCTGCAGTCGGAACGAGAAGCAACTGCAATCCCTCAAGTCTTCTTTGGAACAATTCACGAAACTTGCTCGCAAAGTTCCGACTTCCTAGACAAACATGTCGCACATGTGTACTCAACAAGGAACAGCCAGCTCATGCCTGCCAGGCTACAACAAGTGAAACCCATACGCTTGCTGCTTGGATTGCTGAGAAAAAACAATTTTCCAAGCGCATCAAGCGTCTAAAGGTAAAGCCTTCAGGTTTTTCTGGTTCCCCTAGATTCTGCACAGAATCTACAAATATATAGCCCAGGCTATCCCAAGCTAAACCCTACTGAGCCTGACTCAAACAAAGGTCACACTCACAAACATCCTCTGCTGCAAGCCTCTGACGCTTCAGCGCAGACAGAGACAGCACAGCTTCAAGCGCTCCAGACTCACGAACCAAGCAAGGAGACCGGCTGCATTGCAGAAGCCGGCACGACTGCACACAGCAAAAACATGTTCCACCCCTAGTCAAGCGCTTGTCCGCGCCAGGGGTGCGAAAGTATTCCCATCTCACCTCATGGCGCTTTGCGCCACAAATCAAGCAGGAACCAATGGCGTCAGGAACTCCTGGATCATAGGATCGTGTCGCTGGGTCAATCGCCTGCTCCTTCAACTGCAAGCGCGAAAGTTGCGAGAAGGCTTGAGCATGCTGCTCCCGCAAACGCTTCGCCAGCTTGGCCAATGAAATTTCCTGGGGGGAATCGCTCACTGCTGGTGACAAAAATTGATTGTGCCTATCAAGGCTTTTGGCCGTAGATTGGGGAAAGTTGACTGCTTCCTGTACATATCAAGTTTCTATTGAACAGTGCCCCTAATTTCTGGACAGCGTGTTGGAAAAAACCTTAGGCTCCTTCCATGGATGTTCTCAGGGTGTCTTTGTCTCATGACACTAGTCACTAGCCCCCTCTCCTAAAAACGGCGAGCGAAAGCAAAGGAACAACAACAGCAACAACAGCACCAGCCACAACACCAGCACACCGGGCCAAGCATCTGGAGGTTCTACGGGCTGTTGTCGTACAGCTTGAAGCTCCTGGAGGCGTGTAGCTTGAGGGAAGAAGTGAAGCGAAAAACACGAACAAAAACAGAACCCAGTGAAAGCGAACTCGCAAAGAAGCAGCGTCAGCACCAACAACATGACAGGTACACCAACAAAAGCAAACAAAGAAGACACAAGGAAGAAACGAACTACGAGTACAGTGTCGAGTCTCGACTCCCGATACCATGGTGGGTGTGATCAGGGCTTGCCACAAAAAACTTCTTATGACCACTAAGAACGATACATAAATAAATACAACAAAATATATATATATATATATTAGAACTATAGTGCCTGGTCATGCAACACATAGAGATCATCTTTCACCAGCTGCCTCTGGTAATGGAAGAGACCCAAGCAATAACCCCATTAAAGGGCAGAGCTTCCTCTGACAATGGTTAGATGGGACAAGTTGACACGCGATGCCGAGAAAGCCCTGGAAACCTTCAGGCCAAATCCTTGGCCACTGACTCTGGTGATGCTTCCCGTGTTCTCTTCCTCTGCGGCGTCTCCATTGTGAAGCAATCAACGGAGCTGTGGCCACAAATCTTGGGCCAAAGAAAAGGCCAAGCACTGCATATGTCAATCCCAACAAAACCATGGTTCCAGCCCCAATGGAGCAACCACCTTTTGAAAACAGTGGACCCACAATCGCAAGTGACTTTCCCCATGTAACAGAAGAGCATGGGTTGCCTATAGAAGCATCTTGATGCATAGCTTTCACCAATGGCACACCGGTTTTTGGTCAGATCTTCCACATGATAGGCCTCATGATGGGGGTAAACCCAATGTACAGCACGGTGTTCAATTCCGAAAGGCACAGAGACATTAGACACCAAAGTGCTGCATCAGGTCATTATATAATTCAATATCATTGCTATGGTTTCCTTTAAACTCGAAACACAAGCAGCACAGAGTTCGCAACGACTTTTGAAAATAACAAATCACAATGGTACAGGCTCAAAATCATGAATTCGCAACGACTTTCCTGTTTGGGAGTAGGAGGGGGGAGGTGCCGGTCAGGGAAAGGTGGGTGGTGGTTGTGTGGGTTGCGGTAGAGGTTGAGGAGGATGCTGCACAAGCGTCCAGGCGGAGGAATTGCCATAGGGCATTGTGGTTGGAGTTGGAATGGTCATGGGTGGTGGATGGAGCTGGAAATGCTTGATGTTGTGGTAAAGGGTATGTCGAGGGTTGTGGATACGGAAAGGTTGGTGCAGTGTGTGGCTGTGGCAGCGGTACTGTCGGTTGTGTTGGTGCGGTGGGCAGTGGCGGTGGTGTGGCATGTGAGTATGGCCAAGGATACTGCATAAGGTTGTCGAGGAAAGTTGGTAAAAAGTCGTCACAGCGGTATACAAAGGTCGGCTCAATGGCACGGCGCGGCAGCAACAGCGCGGCGGAGATTGTAAAAGGTGTGATTTGTCATGGTGAAGGTCGTACAGCTCATGTTGAGGAAAAGTGTGTTTGTTGTAGAGTTGTGAAAGTTGGCTTGATGTGGAAAACATTATGTAATGCAGTGGTGAGTTCATGCATATCGAATTAAATCTGGAAGCTCAGGTTTGCTAGCTTGAGTTCTGCATGCGGAAAAGTCATGTCAAAAATGCAAAAACTGCACAGCACTACAGAAATGGCTGGAGAATCAATTCCCGTGGTGAGGCTCGGCAGCCTTGATGTCGGTTAATTCAGTGATTGTGTCAGTGACTTCCGGTGGAAATCCCGTGAAAAGTGGTGAGTTCCGTTAATGATTTCCCAATGAAACGGCGCCTCCTTGCGGAGGATCACACTCAGCACCCGAGTGGGACGGCTGAGCGAAACACACTTCGACAATTGTATTCAGTTATCTCGATTCCCACGTTGAGAAGGATGGCGAAGAACCGCAAGGTGAAAGAGTCAGCTGAAACAGTATGGTTGAACATGGTTTCCAAAGGTGCAAGTCTGCGGTCGGCGGCTGGCTGCAACTCACGATCGGCTGAAAAATGCGGTGGAAAACCTGTTTATGGGGAAGGTAGCATGGGAACAACCATGAAAACAAAGAACAGCGGCGAGGGGAACCAGTGGAGTCAGTGTGTTCAGCGCAGGTACGTCCAGAAGGCGTCCCTTCCGGATATCACCGCGGTTCAAGGAGTGTCTTCGTTGAGTGGTGACTCCAAGACCGCGCACCACTCCCCTGCGTGGGAAACTGTGGTTGGAAAGTGGTAGTTGAAGTGGCTGGAAGAAACCCTTTGCCCAGGGGTGGACACACACACACACACACGCAATGAGCTTCAAGCTTCAATAGACAAGCTGTTTTGCAGCGCCGGAGTCATCTCTCAAATGCTCCGGCCACAAACAGATCAAATAGGGACCCTGGGAACATCATTAGACCTAAACCCTTACAACTATAAACCCCACCTAGTTGAGGGTAACCCCCCTTTGTCTTTCTGCATCTGCTGCCGATCCCCTAGCACCCCAGCGGAGAGCGGGGAGGACGTCCGACTGAGGAATCGGAGGTGGTCGAACTTAGTATGTTCCGATTTTAGCTATAGCGGCGTACCCACTATTGCTCGTGACCTATATGCCCCTATAGCAATTCCTATAGCAATTCGACTCGAACGCTGGTTTGTTCGTTCGGAATCGGTGCTGCTGAATCCATCCACTGAGGAGCACATGCGTGATGCCCAGGCTCTGCAAGACCTTCGCGTTCACGGCGTCGTCGCGAGAGCCCAGAAAGAGATGGGGAAGAAGCTCGGCGGGCACCGTGCTTAATGGCTCGATGTAGGAGAGGTTCAGGCGAAGAAGACTCTGAAAGTCCTGGCGTTCCAGCACTATCTGTTCCTACCCTGATGGCAGCCATCGCGAGTCGCCGACACCCAAAAAACTACGGACCTCAAATACGTGGCATTGGGCTTAGTGATGTTGTTGTGGTTGGCACACTTCACTGAACAACTAACAATTGCTGTGCAACAAATAATGACCCCGAAATCCATGGGTGTGACTCATGTATATCGACATGAGAATTCATGAGTTCATCTGCATTGATGAATGGACCCACATGACACAACACTTCTCAGGCAAACATTGCTGCACATGCCCCCCAAATCCCCAGGCAGCGGTGAAATAAGGGATAGCATGTGGCCCGGGCCCGGATGTCTGAGTTGTTCTCTCGATGTTGGTGGTCTTTTGAGGTCATTGGATCGCTTCTTTTTGCGCTTTCCCAATTCACAAAATCAATGGAAGTGGAAAAGCTGCAGCCAGCATCAACCAGCATCAAGTCGGCGAGTCGCCGGTGGTGTCCTTCAGAACCGCCCCTTCTTTCTCCGATAGGCTGCCCAGTTCAGGAACGCATGCACCGGCCGTTGTCATGGCGTCATGAGCAACTTGGAATGCTGAGGAGCTGCGTGGAAGATGTTTGGCGACCGTCCTTTGCCTGTTTGAGAAACTATGTGCCATAGAGTTTCTACGCAAGCGCCTTGTTCGCCTTGAAGCATCTTGAAGAGAGGTTCTCACCCATGTCATGTCACGGCGTAGTAGATGTGGCTATATAAATCCTTATTCGCACATGTCAACACATCTCATATGCTTGCCTTCTTCATCTTGAAGGATTATAGGAAGCCAAGTAATCACATCAAACTCATGTAGCATGTTGCCGATGAATCAGCAGCTGATGAGTGAAGAAGTGACAATTGATCGAAACTCTCAACAACCTCTGCTGTGAAGTGGCACGAAGTGGTTGACTAGGTATTCTTGCTCTTTGAGCCACACTTGGCAACAAGAAACGGCCCCGGTGGCTAGCTGGCCACCAGCGACAAGCTCAACAACGATGGCAAACGGCCCCCGGTGGTTTTCACTCCCCGTCGCCATGATGGGAGTGCATGTCGCACACTCCGTGGACTCCGCACACACTGGTGAAGCGACACTGGTGAGGCATACGAACTTGACTCGCTTTGCTTTTGCCCTAAGAATCTGGTAGAGACACCTGTACTATTCTATAGTGGGTCCGTGCTCAAGTAGACAAGTAGACTGCGATAGACTGCTCGCAAGAACTGAAAGCGAATACTCGTGATATCTCATCTCTCGTGATATGTGTCGCCAGCTTCAGTCAACAACCTTGAGCAACCCAAGGGCTAAAGGCGTGATTTTGTTCGCAAAAAGAGATCCCATCCATCCAACAGCTCGGCTGTCTCGAAGGCCTCGCTGATCCTCGCATCCAAGACCCGCTCGGACCCCATTCGGTTGGTCCATTTGAGAGGTAGCCAAGGTGACCTGAACTATGGACCGATCACCTGGAGTACCCAACTGGGATAGTCGAACTGGGGTTCTTCACTGGGTTCTTCAACCTCCGTTGCGACCCACCGAGCCCTCTACCCCGTGCGATAGGGCAGTTGGCACCACAACACGTGGTGCCAAAGGAAGAAGAACAACCTCTATTGGTTCAACATGCTGCCAAAGCGAAGTCCTCAACCCCACTTTGGCCCCTAGGCTACAGAAGCCCATCTCCTCAGGTTCGGTGCTTAGACCTCCCCCCACCAAGAGCAGCCACCGCAAAACCACCTGGTCCAAACGGAGGTAGGTCAAAAGGACAAAAAAGAAACAGAAACACCTGGTGACGCTCTAACAAACATCAAGAAACTTCCGCAACCACCTTCATCCACCTTCCCCTATACTCGCCCACTCGTTGTTTAGTGGAGGACGCGTTTCTCGTGTTCAGAACCCGTATTTATCCCGTGCAAAACCCCTAATGTACCGGCTAAAACCTGTATTTAATGTGGGTGGTTTTTGCGAAACTCATCTTTAGTTGCAAAAGCTGTGTTTTGCAAGTCATCTCAAGACCCTACATTTTAGGTTTTGGATGGTCTTGGTTGATCTTGTTTGGAGGATTTCCTTTGATTAACTCAGCATCAGTCGCGAGGCTGGCCAAGCAATGGTCCTCGTCATGCACTTCACGCTCGAGACCGCACATGCCATGATGTCCCTTAGGGACCAGGCTGCCAGGTATTTGATGATGGGCAGTCGGCCGCAGGTTGGACTTGGTGGCAAGTTCAATTCCCTCTGTCCTGGCAAAACACCTGCATGGGGATATGTAGGGTTTTCATGGGCTATTCCTCTTAAAAATAGAGGATAGACATCGTTAGACTTGGGCAGATCCTATTGCCAGGGCCCAGTGGAGGATGATGGGGCCTGCTTGCAGGCCGACATCTCAAAACTTGTGATAATCTTTTAAACTGACTCTTAAATACTGGTCGGTTATGGGCTACACCCTATATATAATATAGACTTATTTATCCTGCCCCGGTCAAGTGCTTGAGGCCATCGCCACTGACTGTGATGTGGAAATCTCTATAAGACCGCCGCCTTGAGAGAAATTGGATGAAATTTTGCTTGCATGTCTCCATGTCGACCCTGAATGTGTAACACTTGTAAGAAGTTTGTGCATTTAAAGAACACCTCCCAACTTCCCAGGAAGGCCTTCACATGCTCCTTTTTTTTTGGAGCAAGAAACATACCTGTGTGGTGGGCAGGTCACCATCATAGACCGCTGAGATCGTGATTTGGCGATCTGCCACTGCGGACGAAACTGCGCCACTCGGCCGCGGCCGGCGCCACAGTCGTGCCCAGCGCTGTCCAACCGCCTCCTTTCGACGAAGAACCGGCTGAGGGCCGGTTCTTATCCACCGTGACCTACGGAGTAGTAGACGATCTGCGGTGGTCTTCAAATATCTTCAAATTTGCTGAATCTTTGCAGAAGAACCCAAACGCCCCCCGCCGGCTGGCAGGCGGATGGATCCCGAAGAATTGTTTCCGGCAGCAACCAGCAGTGATGCATCCCACAAACCAGCCCCATCTAGGCGCGTTTGGCCGAGCTTCGATTCAATCTTTGAAGTTTAGCTGCAGTTCCAATCCCCAGGGTGGATGGAATAGGATGGACATGATTGCCGCGGCTTGAAGCGTTTCGCATCTGTGACGCTTGGCCATGACAGTTTTGTTGCCTTTTGCCAGCTTGAAGGCTTAAGGTGCTGAGATGAGCTGTGCCACTCACCATACGTCGCAGTTGAAACACGGGATCACATCCTTAAAACATTTGAATCTCTTCAAGTGAAACGTTTTGAACGACACTCACCGACGATTCCTGTGGACAGACTTTTCCGAAATCCAAAGCTTTAGAGTTCAATAGGGTCTATCCTATTACCTGTAACATCCTGTAACAGTGGATGATGATGGTTCAGTTGCAGGCCTTGTTCTAAGATAGTGATTATATGTGATGCTCTTGTTTACTAACTGTTGCAGGTAACTGTTACAGGACAGGCCCTGTATGACATATATATATATATATATAACCCAAACACTCCATGTATGCCATATATGCCTACATTGGGGTAGTTTTGGGAATCAATGTAGGCATATAGAGGTCAAATGCGTGGGTCAATTCATGTCAATTCCTTGGGCCTATCCGATCTATCCCATTACCAGTAACAATGGATGATGACGGGGCCTGGTCGCAGGCCGACATCCATCTCTAAAATGGTGATGTTCTTGTTTACCGACTACAGGTTTTCTGTCGGACAGTCACCCCATCAACTCCCAATTATCGTTAAATCCATGCCGCTCCGCTGGCCACAGGTCTGAGAGTCGTCCAAAAAGCCACACGAAAAAGAATCCTCCGTTGGCGGCGTGCGCCATGGGCGTCCTGCTAGCAATCCTCTTCTCCAGAGCGTGCGCGTGCGCATAGACGCAGCGGCAGTGATCACTTAACAGGATGAACTACTCATGAACTCCCTCTGAGGGGTGATGCCTCCAAAGAAAAAACTAAATACTTGCCACTATTTGGCCCATGGAACCACATGTAGGTCTTTCGGGTCACTCCGGTGTTTGCACATGGTGATTCTTGTGAAAAACGATGGTCGCTCTGCTTCTCACCATGGGCAGCAAAGGAAGTGGACCTGTCGGCCGGGCACGGTCGGTCGGAACACGTGGTGAGGTGGTGGGGCGGCTCGAGGTTCCTGGCCATGTTTACCCTACCCTGGGAGTCAAAGACTATAAAAAGAATGGTCTTTAGGGTACCTTAAAGGGAACTTCCTTTACTTCACTACGGAAAAGTATCGTCTTTGGACTTCAGTCGGGCCTAGAAATATAGAAAAAAACGCCCGTTGGATGGATGGAGGCCATGGGCCTACAACGGATCCAGTGCAAAGGAACAATGGCCCAAACATACCCAGACTTACACGTGACCCGCAGTGTGATGGAGCGCTGCCCCAAAGTAACTCTGCAGGACACGCTTTGACCAAACCCCTTGTGGCCCAAACAAGGCGAGTCAAGGCTATGTTAGCTCAAGGGCTGAGATGCCCTGACAAGGGCTGAGATGCCCTGAGCACTTTGAACCACAAGCATCCATCACGTGCCGCAGAGAGTCATCGAATATGGAAACATGTGCCGCATGGGATGAGCTTAAGCTGCCTAGTGTTTTGCAAAAGGCATCTGGATCCCTCTAAATCCGCTGGTGCTAAACGAATTTGTTGCAGCACAAACGCCCTCAGCACCGTATACCACTACCCAGCGCGTTCGTCTGAGAAGCCCCCCGACTCCCTCGCCGGCCTGACCAAACCACATCGCCCAGTAACCCTCGGTCAGTGCGGTGTATCTGCCAGCCTCAGAGCACCGCCCTGGACGCACGAGTGACTGGGACCGCAGTTCTGTGCGCACAGAGCGCACCGATGGTGTGTGGGGCGTGTGTTAAAAATAAAGAGAACATCAAGTCATAAAGAGACTTCCCAAAAAGACCTGTAAAAATATGAACATATAGATCCATGGCGCAAGATCAAAACCCCTTTTCTTTGGGAGGACGCCCCGGTGCCGAAATACGCCGCGGCGTATTCGGCTGGGCCCCATGGCTTGGAGCGTTTGATATCGATTTTTGACGTGGAACCACCAAAAATGCCAGGTCAAATGTGTATTGGCTTCCAGGGTAAATAAGAACACGTTTCCCCCAAAAAATGTATGTTTTTTCCTTTTTAATCTCACCCATTTAACGGGGGAAAACAACGATCACTTAAGCCAAACCAGGCAAATGTATTGCGATTTGGCATGATTTGGCCAAGCAAATGATTTAGCTGCCACCCTGACTGGCTCGAGGCCCTGTAGATTCGAAAGATTTGTCTCGTTCTTTCTAGACTTGCTACCACCATTCGAACGAATTCCCTGTATACTGACCCCCTTCAGTTTCCCTGGTATTAAAAAACTACAACCTCTTTTCACCGGTTCTTGTTAAACTAAAAACAAGAAGGTTGTGCAGCTGATCGGGACTTCCTGGGTAATGAAGAGCCCAGTTCCTCCAAAAATTCTTTCGGATTCTTCTTGGGGGTTCGGGTTCATTCTTCTCCCTTCCCCTTTGTAGCGCCC